ATATGACCACCACTAAAGTGTCTATTATATTCAGGAGACTGGCAGAAACCTTTGCTCTGTGTGATTATCCAAGGTGGTTGTCATGCCATTCTCTGCACTAATGCTATGTAATTATGTATTAAGACACGCCGCAGGTAGGGCGTCTGAGGGCAATTAGAGCACACCTCACACGGTGCGATAAAGACACAAGGCCAAGGGACTTTTGTGTACCCGGGAAAGAAATAATTGCCTCCCAAATACAGTGTCTGGATTATATCTGTCTATGACAAGAATGGAGTTCCCAATGATAAAAAGAACAAAAAAAATCATTCTGGCAGTATGTCTTGTTTCCAGAGAGGATGTGCTTAGATTGGGCCAAGGATACAGGAGAGATCTATTGTTCTTTCAGCTGCATGAGAAAAGACCTGCTGGATCAGGCCAAAGAGGACCCATCTAGTCCAGCATCCTGTTCTCATGGCAGCCAATCAGATGTGCCATTAGGAAGCCCACAAGCAGGACCCGAGTGCAACAGCAACTCTCCCCACTCAGTGGCGTAAAATTCTGAGAGGGGTGCAACCAGGCACCCCCATGACAGGCTGAGCTCCTGTCACCTTCTGGAGCCATGGGGAAGCAAGTAGTGCCTGGGCCAGGCCTTCTGTGTCCAGGGCAGCTGTCTACCAGCTCCATCTGGTATGCAGGCTGAGACCCTACCTGCCCTCAGACTGTCTCGCCAGAGTGGTGCATGCTCTAGTTATCTCTCACTTGGACTACTGCAATGCGCTCTATGTGGGGCTACCTTTGAAGGTGACCCGGAAACTACAACTAATCCAGAATGCGGTAGCTAGACTGGTGACTGATGAGTGGCCGCCGAGACCATATAACACCGGTTTTGAAAGACCTACACTGGCTCCCAGTACGTTTCCGAGCACAATTCAAAGTGTTGGTCTGATCTTTAAAGCCCTAAACGGCCTCGGTCCAGTATACCTGAAGGAACGTCTCCACCACCATCGTTCTGCCCGAACACTGAGGTCCGGCGCCGAGGGCCTTCTGGCGGTTCCCTCGCTGCGAGAAGCCAAGTTACAGGGAACCAGGCAGATGGCCTTCTCGGTAGTGGCGCCCGCCCTGTGGAACGCCCTCCCACCAGATGTCAAAGAGAAAAATAACTACCAAACTTTTAGAAGACATCTGAAGGCAGGCTTGTTTAGAGAAGCTTTTAATGTTTAATAGGTTACTGTATTTTAGTGTTTTGTTGGAAGCCGCCCAGAGTGGCTGGGGAAACCCAGCCAGATGGGCGGGGTATAAATAATAAATTATTATTATTATTATTATTATTATTATTATTATTATTAAAGGGAGGTGCGGCACCTCCTTCTCTTTGTGGCCGGCGAAGGGACACCCACGCACCCCACCCTGGACTGGCTTTGTGTGTCCCCCCGGGGCAAACCTCCACCCCAGATGCCCAGTCCACCAGGGAGGTTCAGCACTTGCCCTGCCCCGGGCTCTGGCAACCCACGCTATGCCACTGTCCCCACTTGTAACTCCCACCAACTGGTATTCAGAGGTATTGTGCCTCCAATAGTGGAGGTGGAACATAGTCTTCCTGGCTAGTAGCCATTGATACTCCTCTTCTCCATTTTTGTGGCCATCACTCCTTCCTGTGGGACTGAATTACCAACTTAATATTGACAATCTATTCTATACTGTAATAAGAGCTGTTCAACAATGGAATGGACTGCCTTGGAAGGTGGCGGACTCTACTTCATTGGAGGTTTGTTTAACATGAGGTTGGATGGCCATCTGTCAGTAATATTTTAGCTGTGATTCCTCCGTTGGTAGGGGTTGGAATAGATGACCCTTAGGATCCCTTCCCACTCTGCAATTCAATGGTTCTATCATTATAAATATATCTTATGTACCAGCATCTGTTTAAGTCTCAGAGTGGTCCAGAGAAACATTTTAAACTAACGGGAACCAAAGTATTCAACCCATCTTGAGATGGGATAAAGCTTTTTCCTGAAGGTCAGTTCAATCTCTAAGGGGGCAGGTGACTTTTCTTACCTTAAATAAATTCAAGATAAGAGCTTTATTTTTCCCTTTACTTAAGTAAAACAACAACAACCTTGCCACTCCTTCAAGCAGTGGACTACCTTCTGCAACAGCTCAGCGGCATTTCACCCTGACTGTAGCGCCCCTTGGGAATGCACAGCATGACTTTTGTGGTTGACAAAAATGGCCCCACAACCCTGCTATTCATTGGACCATTTGGTGATTGCAGGGAAGATGCCTCGCAGCTGACTGGGGAGTGAAATTGTTGTTGTTGTTGCTATTATATTATTAATTTCATTTATGAATCACTTCCTACACGGCATCTCAAAACCATTTCACTGTATGATAAAATCCACTTGCAAAATATTTGCATGTATAAAACAGCAAGAACAACTGTATATATGAAACAATAAAATACACATCTATAAAATGTAAGCAATTACATATATAAAAGCAATTTCAAATAAATTCAGATACCGACTAGGATGAAAAAAATCTCCACTTAGAAGGTTGGTTGATACATGAGTATCTTTTTTAAAGCATTAGATGTGCTCTCAATTGTTATCTAGTCTCGGGGATGACTATAATGTTTCTCCCAATTCTCAGAAGATGGGGAAGTGCTCTTTTTACAGTCTTGTTATGTTACCTGGATGAAGAAGAGGAGACCAGACTGTGAATTTACAGAGATCAAACAGCTAACAAGAAGGACAGCATTTAATTATTATGACCTTCTTTTCGGCCAGACAATTCTGTACCACCCACTGAGAGGCTGAATCTGCCTTCCTGAATGTGAAGGTTTTAAATCTTTTACTATCCTTCCTCTGCCTTTGATGATGACGATGATGATTAGATAAAGGAATATAGTAGCAATCTGCTTATTTTGAAAATCCGGATTTTCAGAACCTCCACCTCCAATATTTATTAATTTATTTCACAAGATTTAGACACTGCGGTAAAACCTCAACATAGTTTTCAAAAAGAAAGAAAGAACTATCAGTATTTTTTTCTTTAAAAAAAAACCACTTAAAAGCAACTATTTTTATATGCTATATTTTTTATACTCCTGTTGCCTTTGTCCATGGAGTTTTCTTGGCAGGGATACTGGAGTGGCTTGCTGGTTCCTGCTCCAGGTGGATCACGTTTGGTCAAAACTCTCCACTATGACCTGCCCATCTTGGGTGGCCCTGCACGGCGTAGTTCATAGCTTCTCTGAGTTATTCAAGCCCCTTCGCCACGGTAAGGCAGTGATCCATGAAGGGGAAGACAGGAGTGCCTGGCGTGCTCTGGTCCATGGGATCACGAAGAGTCAGACACGACTAAACGACTAAACAACAGCAACAAAAAAGCAACTATTTAAAACTATTCAAAAAATAACCTGCAATATACTAAAAAAACACACACATTAAAACACATGTCAACATTTTACATGTCCGGGCAGGCTACCCAAATGTTTTAGCAGGCGCCAGAAAGAGTACAGTGAAGATGCCTGTCTAAGTGTCAATAAGCAGGGAGTTCCAAAGTCAATTTCGTAGAAGTGCAGAGAGAGTATTACGTATAATACGTATAATACGTATAATAGTGCCAGTTCCCAGTGGTTAGAATTGGGTGAATGAGAATTTGCTTCCTGGTCCCTCCATCACATCCCCATTGCCTGGCCTCACACATTGGAGCCCCAGGGTCTGTAGGAGGGAGCCAGCTCTACTGGGGCACAGTTGGGGTTCCGAATTCACACAGCGAGCTTTGAAAGTACAGCATACAGACATTCCCCCTCCAATCCATGGTGGGTGGTGGGACAGGGTGATTGGACTGTGATAGCAGGGGGCAGGGCAAGTGAGCCCATCCCGTTCTCTTTCATGTGATTGCCCAAATAAAGCTTTGGCAGATAGACTTATGGCAAGGGGGTAGCATCACATCAGGTTAGATCCCCATCTAATTCTAAGGCCCTGTGGTACCCCAAAGGAGATTTTCGATTACCTGAAGTTTACTGCATTGTGATGTGTGCACTGTGTGTGTGTGTGATCTTTGGTGATCTCTGGGCTTTCTGAAGGATAAAGTCAGATCACCTCAAAGGGTAGGTCGCTCCCATCATTGTGTGCCGTGCAATCATTTTGTGACCTCTCGGAAGGGAGAACTAAAAGTCTCCCTAGGCAGCTTGAGTACAGCACTGGAGAGCAGAGATGGAAGTCAGAGATGATGTATTCATCTCGGAAAGGTGGGAAGATAAATTGTGGGGAGCTGAGAGGTGCAGCTCCTTAAATGGATGGCCCCTGCTCAGCTGTTTCTCTTGCTGAGTAGCTCCCGGTTTGTCACCTCAGCCAAAAGCAGACAGCGGAGAGGAGAGTGAGCGAGCGAGGGACATTCTAATAGCCCAGGGGCAAAGTCAGTGCTGCTGGTTTCGCTCTCTGCAACACTTAGGTGCTTAGCCTGTTGCACAAAGCCATTGTCATGCTGGAGATCAGAGATATCCAAACTGATTCACATCTGCATAGGACCTTGGCTGCTTTTGTAACAGGGAGCTGGGGAAATGACCCCAAAGAGCCTTTCCCCTGAAATCTGATTACCTGAGTCCAATGAAGCCACCTCTTCCATCCAAATTAACTTCATAGAATCAGAATCATAGAATTCTGGAGTTGGAAGGGACTCTGAGGATCATCTAGTCCAACCCTTTTTACTGGTGATTGACCAAAGTTATATACAGTGGTACCTTGGTTTGCATACGTCTTGGTTTGCATACGTCTTGGATTACAAACACGTCAAACCCGAAAGTGTGTGTCCCAGTTTGCAACCTTTTTTTTTTATTACAACCCATTTTTGGGGGATTACGAACAATTTTTTTTTAGAGGCCCCATTGGTGAAAGCGCACCTTGGGTTACAACCTGTTTTGGTTTACAAACAGACCTCCGGAACAGATTATGGTTGTAAACCGAGGTACCACTGTATATAGCTCAAACCCCTGCAATGCAAGAATATGCAGCTGTTTCATACAAGAATCAAACCTGCAGTCTTGGTGTTATCACTACCACACTCTAACCAACTGAGCTACCCAGGCTCACACTGTACACCCAAGATGACGTTTAGGTCTCACGGCTTAGGTTCTCATGGGGGCTTGTGGTCCATTTAGTTGCTGCTCAGTTCAGAGAATCCAGAATCTGCATCATTCCTAACATGTCCAGCCTGTGCTTGACAACCTCCAGCAAAACAGAGCCCATCCACCCCCAGCAGGCCACTGGTTCCACTGCCCAACCTGTCTTACCTTTAACAAGTCTCTCCTGATGGTTAACTGAAATCTACCTTTCTAAACGGCCTTGGCCCATTATACCTGAAGGAGCATCTCCACCCCCATCGTTCAGCCCGGACATTGAGGTCCAGCACCGAGGGCCTTCCAGCAGTTCCCTTGTTATGAGAAGTGAGGTTACAGGGAACCAGGCAGAGGGCCTTCTCGGTAGTGGTGCTTGCCCTGTGGAATGTCCTCCCAGCAGATGTCAAGGAAATAAATATCTGACTTTTAGAAGACATCTGAAGGCAGCCCTGTTTAGGGAAGTTTTTAATGTATGATTATTTATTGTGTTTTTAATATTCTGTTGGGAGCCACCCAGAGTGGCTGGAGAAACCCAGCCAGATGGGCAGGGTATAAATAATAAAGTATTATTATTATTAAGCCCATCCCATCTAGTCCTGACCTCTGGGACAACAGCAGAGAACATATGTTTGTCAGCTGCTTGAGCAGCACTCCAGATATTGGAACAGTGCTACCATGTCGTCATCGTCGTCCACCCCCTTGCAAAAAAACTCCCCTCCTTCAGGCTAAATTTAATTTGCTATTACATTTGTCTAGCAATTTTTCCTCCCGCTGGTGGTGTACATGGTGGTACTCACTTCTCTATTTTATTCCCACAAGAACCTTGTGAGGTGGGTCAGGCTGAGAGACAGTGACTGGCCCAAGGTCACCCAGTGAGCTTCATGGCTGAGCCAGGATTCAAACCCAGACCCTAGTTCTACACTCCAACCACTAAATCACACTAGTATCATATCTACTTCCTTTGCCCTTTCCTTCGATCGTTTTTTTTTGGGGGGGAAGGGTCAATAAGGAGTGTTTTGATTGTTTATGAATTGGTTGTGTTATTTTTAAAGAGATGAATACCTCTTTTTAAACCCTTTGATTCCAGCTTGAGTGCTGGCCTGACCCTCCTCATCCTGCCAGCAGAACCCTGAAGCATTACAGTAGCCTTTGACAACTGAATCAACAGGAGTAAAAAAATAAAAATAAAATGACACTTCCTAGAGTTCAAGTTAGCTATGCAGGCTCCAAGCATGCTCACCAACCTTCCACCACAGAAAGTCAGAGACAAGGACCTTAGGCAAACCTCTTGTCTTCTTTCCATCCTTTCAAGAAGAGAGTGTGAGAAAGGAAGGAGAAGGAGAGAAAAGAGCCTTGGTCCTGTATACCTGAAGGAGCATCTCCACCCCCATCATTCAGCACTGAGGTCCAGCGCCGAGGGCCTTCTGGTGGTTCCCTCACAGCAAGAAGTGAGGTTACAGGGAACCAGGCATAGGGCCTTCTCAGTAGTGGTGCCTGCCCTGTGGAATGCCCTCCCATCAGATTTCAAGGAAATAAATAACTATCTGACTTTTAGAAGACATCTGAAGGCAGTCCTGTTTAGGGGAGTTTTCAAAGTTTGATGTTTTAGTGTGTTTTTAATATTCTGCTGGGAGCCGCCCAGAGTGGCTGGGGAAACCCAGCCAGATGGGCAGGGTATAAATAAACAAATTATTATTATTATTATTAGGGCAGATGAGGAGGCGATGAAGCATTGAAAGCCGAGACAAAGGTGAGGGGGGTGGGCTCAGTTCCTAATGACCCAAATTGGAGACGTTTGTTTCGAAATCACACACACATGTCCAACATGCTTTTCCACCTCTCCTCGTTCTTTGCGTACAGAAGCATCTCCCAATGCTTCCACAGATGGCCGGGGTGGATTGTTCGGCAAGCTGGCTATCAGTAGGGAAATGTAAGTAGGAGCTAAGAACAGGTCCTGGGAGGTGCTCTATTATATCTACAGTGAGAAACTTCTCTTTGTAAACATGTTTCCCATCCATTATTAAGCACCTAGGTCTCATGAAATATTGAAGGCTTGTGCATATGAGGGAAATAAAGGAAGGTGGGCAGGTGGGGTGGGGGTGGGGGGACCGATCTATTCCATCCCCGGCTCCTGTAGCAGATTCTTTGCAGGCAAACCAAGCCATCATACGACTCTTAAGGATGGCTTTGCTGGATTGGCCAGAGAACCTGCTTGATTTCTGTTTATGTCAGAAGCTGCTAAGTTGGAACTGGAAGCCTCTTGCTCCACGTGCAGGAGAAGAAGAAGAAGAGTTTGGATTTGATATCCCACTTTATCACTACTCTAAGGAGTCTCAAAGCAGCTAACATTCTCCTTTCCCTTCCTCCCCCACAACAAACACTCTGTGAGGTGAGTGGGGCTGAGAGACTTCAAAGAAGTGTGACTGGCCCAAGGTCACCCAGCAGCTGCATGTGGAGGAGCGGGGATGCGAACCCGGTTCACCAGATTAAGAGTCCACCGCTCTTAACCACTACACCACGCTGGCTCCCGTCTGCTTGGTATGGCCCTCCACTCCAACTCTCATTTTGTATCTCCTGGCTGACCTCTGACCAGAGGTGTCAGCTTCTCAAGACAACTGAGGGGGCGCGATGCGACGTCCTGGTGACAGGTGCATGACATTATGTGACCACCTGACATCGCACATGAGAAGCCGGGGGCGGAGCCAAATGCCTTCTGAACACTGAAGGGGCCTGGGCCCTAAAAGTAACATGAGAGGGGACATAGGCCTTGCCCGCCCCCCGAACTGGTGCCTGTGCCTCTGGCAGTTTCCAGTACCAGTCGTCAGACTACTCACCCTCCACTCCCAATGCTTCTGGGAAGCTCAAAACCTCAGAGCCTTGACTTCAGGGTGGCTATGCACAGGCTCCAGTGTGGAAGGCAGTTGCAAGGTGGCATCTGGTAATGGCTAAGAAATTGACGTTTGGGTTGCACTTCAGTTATGCCTATCTTACAGGGTTGTTGTCAGGATAGGATGGGGGGCGCAAGCACACACACACACACACACACATATGCAGCAGCACCCTAAATTCTTTGGAGCAACAGGGGTATGAAATGCAATAGACACAAAATAAAATAAACTGCAACGTCAAGCATTCGATTGACGTTGGAGAGAGACTGAGTTGAGAAATAAGACCAAGGGTACATATTGATATAGGAATGTATTAGATAAAATGTAAAGAAATATACAATAATAAGAGTACATTCATTTGTAAAAAATGAATATACAACGGGAGAGAGAGGAAGTCCAAAGTGTTGGTATATATATGATTTTGGAATAGTTTTTTGCCCTTGTTTTCTTTTCTTTTCTTTTAGTATATAAACTTTGTATACATGTTGAAAATTATAGTATAATAAGCCTCGTGATGTAATATGTGTTTACCGATGTAACATAAGAACTTTAATAAATAAATAAAATTCAAATAAAAAAATAAACTGACCTACCTTACAGAGCTGTTGCAAGGATTATAGGGTAACCTGCATGATGTTTTCTTTTCTTAAAACAAAAACAAAACAAAACACACCTCAAGAATGTGATATAAAGGGAAAGCATTTGGGTTACTAAGTTACTCCAGATAATGTTGTTTTTTCTCTCTTTTTGGGGGGGAGAGGGTGGGATTCTCATGAAGGCTCCCCTAATTTGAATTTATCTTTTTATTTATTCAGAGAGGTTATGAACCACCCTCCAGCATCCACTCCCACAGCGCCGTACAGTTAAAGGAATAAAACAACACTGTAAAAATGCGACTGTAAGACAATATAAAACACAAAAACAGCAGCGTCACATGACAGCAAACCAGCAGGACTGTAAAGCAACAATTAAAGCCAGCTGCTCAACATGCTAGAAATTTGCTTTCAAAAAAATTTCATTTAAAGGAAGGAAGGAACCATAGCTTGACCAATTGCAGCTAGGACCAGCTAGAAACTAGGTGGAGTCGTAGATCTAAAAAAAGGTAAGATTTGCACACGCTGGCCAGCTTCTGTTTTGACTTGAAATGTTCATTTTGGGCTTCTCAGAAGTACGTAAAGGCAAGAAGCGGTCAAGGGGAGCATCAGCCCACAATGGTGTCCCGCGGAGAGGTGCTGGAATTGCACTCTGGCATGTTCTGGCTGAAAAAAAAGCACTGCCTTCTTCATCAAATTTTATTTTGGAGGCCCTGGCCCTAAAAAGCTGCCCAGCTGGCCTCACCAGTGGATTGTTGTTGTCAGAAAAAGGACCCCCAAAAATGAGCAGGCCACGCTGGAAACTGACAAATCTGTACAAACACATGGTAAAATGGTAAAGGACTCCTGGGTGGTTAAGTCCAGTCAAAGGCAACTATGGGGTTGCGGTGCTCATCTCGCTTTCAGGCCGAGAGAGCCAGTGTTTGTCCACAGACAGCTTTCCAGGTCATGTAGCCAGCATGACTAAACCACTTCTAGCGCAACAGAACACAGTGACGGAAACCAGAGCGCACGGAATCGCCGTTTACCTTCCCACCACAGTGGTACCTATTTATCTACTTGCATTGGTGTGCTTTCAAACTGCTAGGTTGGCAGGAGCTGGGACAGAGCAACGGGAGCTCACCCCACTGCAGGGATTTGAACCACCAACCTTCTGATCAGCAAACCCAAGAAGCTCAGTGGTTTAGACCACAGCGCCACCCGCTTCCCTACACAAGCACATTGAGTTCCAATGCAGCACACATGCACACCCCATCTCTCTCTCGCTCTCTTTGGCAGGCAAAAAATTTCCTTTTTTTCTTTCTTTTTTTGTAAAGCAACCTCATTCTATTTCAAAAGGGGGATTATACCTGTAACGATAATGTGTGCCTTTAACGCCTCCATTTGTGGCCAGGAGTTCCTGCATTTTTTAAATCCTCCACCAACCCGAAACCTGCGGAATACAAAATTGGGTTTGCCCACCCTTGTTTTGGTTTCCACGAAGGAAAGCATCACTTTCTCTTCCCCCTCCCATGCAGCCACCACCTCTCCTGCCATTCATCAGCATTATGTGTTATTTGTGCCAAAGAGACACCTGAAGACCAACTGCTGCAATAGCAGGCTGGCTCCTCTCTCAGCTTTGGGCTGAGCTCACGAGGGAGTAGGGAGGGAGAGAGAGCAATCCAGCTGAGTGAGTCTGTGCTTGTTGTTGCTTTAAGGTTCAGGTTGTGTGGGTGGCAGCAACAGCACTGCACAGCAGAGGACTGTTTAAAGTGGCAGAACCTGTGGATCCCAGCACTTCTTTGCAAATGGAATCGCAAGCTCAGGACCAGTAGGCTTCAAAACAACCCCTGGCCCTTCCACATATGTCAGCTTGTTCAAATCACCTGTGTACCACATGCCCATGCATTACACAGTTTCTTACTGGCTCAGGCATGGACGCGGGTGGCGTTGTGGTCTAAACCACTGAGCCTCTGGGGCTTGCCGATCGGAAGGTCAGCGGTTTGAATCCCAGCGACAAGGTGAGCTCCCATTGTTCTCTCCCAGCTGCTGCCAACCTAGCAGTTCGAAAGCATGCAAGTGCAAGTAGATAAATAGGTACCTCTGTGGCGGGAAGGTAAACGGTGTTTCCATGCACTCTGGTTTCCGTCACGGTGTTCTGTGCACCAGAAGTGATTTAGCCATACTGGCCACATGACCTGGAAAGCTGTCTGTGGACAAACGCCGGCTCCTTCGGCCTGAAAGCAAGATGAGTGCCACAACCCCATAGTTGCCTTTGACTGGACTTAACTCTCCAGGGGTCCTTTACCTTTTACATTTACCTTACTGGCTCAGACACATGCACTGTTAAAAGGGTTGATACTTTTGCACACGACTGACTGTGCCTGTTATCCATGCACTATGGTTCCCCTAACTATGTGGCATAGCTGAAGAGCCACCCCCCTTACCTTTCAGCTCCATTTAAGCCAGCATTACACAAAGTAGGTATAGAATCACAGAACTGTGGGGTTCAAAGGGACCACAAGGGCCATCTGATGCAACCCCCTGCAGTGCAGGAATACTTCATGTGGACCTCGAACCCACAACCCTGAGATTAAGTGTCTCATGCTCTATATTGACTGAGCCATCTCAGCTTGTATATTTTCTTTCCTTCTTTAAAAGGGATTCCTTCTTGTTTTACCCTCCCCTCCTGCTCTGCAAGGCAAAAGGTGCTGCAAGCAACTAACACAGAATTTGCAAACAGGAATAATATTTAAAAACTGACTGTGATTAAACAAAGCAAAACAGAGCAACTTTGTGAATCAGCTTTATAAACAGTGCTTCAAAAAAAACAGCAGCTAAAGGGGATAGGGGAGCCCTGGCTGAATCAGGAGGTCTCTGCTTGGCCCCAGAAAGGCATGAGGCTTGGGCCATGAAAATAGGCCAGTGGAGTAGAGTTCCAGTGTCAGGGTGCCATCACTGCAAAGACTCTATCAAGGGTCCCTGCCTGCCTATTGTCTGAAGGGGTAGGTGGGCTTAAGAAAGACCTTTGAATAAATTTTGACTGGTATAGGGCAACCTCCCCCAACCTGGTGCATCCCAGCTTCCATTAGCCCCAGCCAGCATGACCAATGGTGAGGGCTGGTGGGATCTGTAGTCCAATAGCATCTCTGAGGACATCTACCTGGGAAAGACTGATGTAAGGAGCCACCATTTAAAGACACCCACTTCGTACATTTTTAGCATAAGAATGTGAGAAGAACCTGCTAGATGAGGGAAGGGGCCCATCTAGTCCTTCCTCCTGTTCTTGCAGTGGCCAACCAGGGGCGTGTTCTAGGAAGCCAGCAAACGGGACATGAGCACAACAGCGCTCTGCCCACCTGTGATTCCCAGCATCTGGTATTCAGAAACATAATTGCTGAAATTTGCCTTTTTTAGAGATTACACCAAAGTGGACTGCAGACAAAAAGGGGTCGAGATCTCTTCTAAGTGAGTTCTTCTGGAGGTTGATTATATGTGCCTGAAAAGTGAAAATCTGGGATTCTGGGATTTTTAAAGTTTTTTTTTATTTTTAAAAAATCCTACTTGCGATACTTCTGGGTTTCCCCAGACATTTTGCTGATTCACCATTTTCAAGCCCATTTCCTGGCTGTATCGGGGAAAATCTTGACCTATAGCAGCCCTAGTATTACTGCAGGTGGGAGCAGACATGGAATACTCCTGTGTGTGTGTGTGTGTGTGTGTGTGTGTGAGAGAGAGAGAGATCTTTGCACAAGGAAAACTATTATGTCCCAGCCTAGACATGTCACAAACATCCTGTTTTTTTTTTGTGTGTGTGTGTGCACATGGATCTATCACTCAGACTATATTATGACACAGAAAAGGGATCTGGCAGATTCATGGAGGACTGGTCCTTTTCAGTGACATCACGAAGCTATGTGGTGCATCACGGTACCAGTTACTCCATGAGGCGGGGGCAAACAACAGTGGGGAAGGTCTTTTGCCCTTGTGCCATGCTGGTAGCTTTCTTAGAGTTCACTGGTTGGCCAGTGCAGGAGACCGGATGTTGGACTGGGTGGGTTGATCCAACATAATTCTTCTCAGTGACAATTAGACCTGAAAATCTTGGGGACACAGCCTGGGGTCTTGTCCAGAGAAAACATCTCACAGACCCACCAAACGCAGTCTCACCATAGTCCTATGGGAGAGGTCTTGCTTAGAAGCTGGTGCAGTCAGCACACCCAAGAGACTCTCTGCATCTCAAAAAGACCTGCATTTTTATGACAAGGCAAGTATCAAATCAGTGGCCACCCATTCCATCATGGGCTGTGCTTTCTTTTTGGTCCATTTTCTTTTCATTGAATTTTTTTCATCATTTTATTTTGTTTTTGTTTTTTTGTTCTCCGGCCACCATATGATGGCATGCCAAGCTGTGGCACTTACTGTAATTTCATACAGTTCTCCAGACAGATATTGAAAAGGCATCTGGAAAAATTGATAGCGTATCAAGCCCGAGATTTCATAGAAGTCATTTTCAGAATACCCAGCCGTAGGTGCAGTGATGGTCTGCGCCTGTTGTTCGCGGAGGCAAGAGCGGAGGCAGCAAGGGGGTCTTGTGATCTTAGAGCTCCACCTGCAGAACTGCAGTGAGCAGTGCAGACTGGCAAAGAAACAGTTCCCCACCGAGAAAGGACATTGTGCAGTGACTTCTGTGCCTTTGCAAAACAACAACAACTCTTTACTTAGTCCTACAGATGGGCCGTTTGAGGTCTTAGGGGAGGAGGAGTGCCTCTGGTAGGGGACACATTGTGTTCCTTCTGGGCTTGTCCACCTTTGGTCCCCACCTGGCACTCAGCCTCACCTGTGGCTCCCAAAATCTGTCAGCTTGCTACAGCAGTCACACCCCAGGAATGGCTTCAACTGGCTGGCTAAACCAGGTGAAGGTAGCCGATGGGTCTCAAACCCTCAGTGAATTTGGGACTTCCCCTGCATGCAAAAACAAGCTCCAGCAGATTGAGCAGACAAGGCAAATAGTGGAGTCCCTAAGACGGTTGCATGGTGCCTTGTACTCCTCCTTCCGTCAATTCTTGCAGCCAAGCTGGTGCCAAACATATTGCTCTGCTCTCCTTTGGACCACATCAGAGAGGCCAAGAGGGGGTTTTGTCATCTGGGCAGCCCAAGACATCCATTTATATTGCCCAGGCTTGCACCCTAGATGCAGTCTGGCTCCATTGTTTCTCAAGACAGATGCCAACAACAACAAGTTGTGCAGAAGAGGGAATTTCAGCCAGTATAGTTTGTCATGCAAGCTACACCTGCTGAACTCCTCCACAATTTTTAAACGTGCAGGAATCCTGGCTTCTCCTCCTCCTCTCTTCAACTTACCACTCTAACCCATGGCTTCTTCTATCCATCCTTCCCCTGGCCTCTTGGTCCACCAACACTTCATTTCCTATGTAGCTCACCTGGAGCTCGGAACAATTACATACAGCAGGGCTTTCTTGGGGGAGGAAGACACAACAGGTAACCCTTTGTTGTTGTTGTTTAGTCGTTAGTTGTGTCCGACTCTTCATGACCCCATGGACCAGAGCACGCCAGGCACTCCTGTCTTCCACTGCCTCCCGCAGTTTGGTCAAACTCATGCTGGTAGCTTCGAGAACACTGTCCAACCATCTCGTCCTCTGTCGTCCCCTTCTCCTTGTGCCCTCCATCTTTCCCAACATCAGGGTCTTTTCCAGGGAGTCTTCTCTTCTCATGAGGTGGCCAAAGTATTGGAGTCTCAGCTTCAGGATCTGTCCTTTCAGTGAGCACTCAAGGCTGATTTCCTTAAGAATGGAGAGGTTTGATCTTCTTGCAGTCCATGGGACTCTCAAGAGTCTCCTCCAGCACCATAATTCAAAAGCATCAATTCTTCGGCGATCAGCCTTCTTTATGGTCCAGCTCTCACTTCCATACATCACTACAGGTAACCCTACCTGCCAACAATGTACCTCATCTCCTGTTCTTCTGCTTTATAAGGTTTTTTCCCCTCCACTCCATCACCTTTCCAACTTTTCCCTCTTCTCCTCAACTTCCTTTGCTTCCTTGGACCTTGCTGTCTCCTCCACTTCATATTGCCTTCAGGGCTCAATTCTGATTCAGGTCAGATAAAGGTGGAACGAGGGGAGAACAGGCTTATGCATGACCACTGAACCCAACCCCCGTGTAAACAATTGCCCATATAACAAAGGAGATTTGTTCTCTGCCAAAGAATAAATGGGTGCCCCCTTCCCTCACCTGGCTGGTAGTGAGGAGAACAATTGCCAGAGTGGTGTGGTGTGTGAGAGCACTGCTAGAAGCAGGCAGACACCAGAGAGGGAGAGTCATGCTTGATGTCTGCTTGAATCCAAGACTTTGATGGTGGGGGAAACAAGATCTTCTGGGATGTTAATGCTGAGAGCCCCTCCATCATAGGCTACAAGAAAGGAGATTCCGACTAAACATCAGGGGAAAAAACTTTCTGACAGTAAGAGCTGTTTGTCAGTGGAACAGTCTCCCACGGGAGGTTGTGGACTCTCCTTCCTTGGAGGTTCTTTAAGCAGAGGTTGGGTGGCCATCTGCCATGGATGCTTTAGCTGAGATTCCTGCATTGCAGGAGGTTGGACTAGATGTCCCTTGGGGTCCCTTCCAAGGCCACAGTTCTATGATTCTAGGTTGTATAGATGTGAAAACAAACCATATATCATAAAGACACCACAGTCTCTGCTGTCCCTCAGTCCCAGGTAACCGAACCCGGGGTAAGCACCTGGAATCTCGCACTGCTCAGAGATTGGGGTGGAACGCAACAGTATTCTCTAGAATACGCACAGATTAGAGGGTGTGGGGGACTGGGTGCTGAGGTGCACAAACATTCACAGGACCTGATCCATGGACTACAAGCAATGCTTTCTCCTTTCAGAAAGTACAGAGGCATCTTCCACAAGGCACTAGAACATGCAGCCACACACAGAGGCTCCCTCGCTCTTATCCTGCACTCCTCTTGCAATCTTCTTGTGACGTGGATAGTTTTTCTGCTCTTCATGCTTGGCCAGGCTATCAGTTTCCTTGACTTGCCACTGGGCATCCGGCAGCTCACAGTGCCCGTCTTGTGATAAGGAGACAGCAATCATGCTGACTAAGTTGCAGAACATTTTTTTTAAAAAAAATCTTGCAGAGCAAAACCTTGGAATTTAGAAAACAGGCCTTTTTATTCAGGAAGCAACCAAAATAGCCTTCAAAGATCAGGCAATTGCAGCAAGTTCAGTGGGGCAGGCATCTAGATCAAGAAGTGACTGCATGTGTGAATGAATGGCCCATTGCACATAGAATACCTAAGGAACATTAGGGCACCACCTAACCATGCTTCAGCAAAAATGCAATGCTCTGCAGAGGACTCAGTCTGTAAGCCTGTACATCAAGGGCATGTTCACACATGCATGTCCATCATGAAATTTCTATAGATGTGTTAACCTGTGCAGACATTCAGTGTCACTTCTGTACACATGACATTGTGGACACAGCTATACAGCTGCAAATAAAACTTTTAAATGCGTTGTAAAGTGCAATATACAAATGTGACACTAGATGGCAACAGGGAGCTATGCCAAATTCAATGTACTTTTCAAAACTTTTTTAA